TGGGACAGAGTACCACTAAAATCAATGACACATTCACAGACTACAGCATCATCTCTGATGCTTCTCAGTCCACAGAGTCATCTTTCATCACCCTCACTGAGAATGTATCCATATCAGGTTCCAGTAATTCTTGACCTCTCTGGTGGTAAAAGGACCATTAGCCACATCTACTGCTGTGGAATCCACTGTCTCTTCCTACAATACAAGTTATTCTCCCTTAAATCCCAACATATTTTCTATAAATTCCCTGACCACTGGACACAGTGCTGCAACTCACAGTGTATTACCCTCTGTCTTCACAACCATGCTTGATTTGCCCAAATCAACCCTTTCCTCTGGAATCTTGTCTACCACAGATGTTGGAAGTGCTGCATATCCTTCAAGCCCTGGTCATGTATTACTACTGTTACTGTCTCAGCATGAAAAATCAAAGTCCTTATTATAGTTCCAAGTTCTTATGACTTATAATATTCCACATAAGAGACAAAGGTCTAGATCAAACTGCCCCAAATTGTCCAAATCTAAAGATTCTTTATGGGCATCCCTGATTCATCAAAACATACAGCTATTCTGGATAACACCATTGCCATTACATGAAGCCTAGGTGACTCTTCACCACTTTTGGTGGATTACCAACATTTTTTCCTCCAGGATTCAATTTCACAACCATCTCAAAGGTATACAGCAACATTTTTTACCTGCTCCTTCTACAGTACAGACAATGCAAGTCCAGCTTCCCCATCAAGCCCAGTGAGCACTCTATACCTACACTAGTCTCAGAAGAAACAGACATGACTCATAGAGGAGTCCACTCTCTACTATACTGTCTCTGATTTGTCCAAATCATTTGTTTCCTCTGAAACCTCCTTTAAAAAATCTGAAGGATCTTCCACTACAAGTAGGTATTCTTTACTGTGGAATCCACTGTTTTTACAGTCTCCTTCAGATTCAACAGTTCCATGTGATACCTTCTATACCACTGAGCATGCAAATTGTTCTTCTCCATTTATTCTGGTTATTTAATTTCCACCACCATGGCCTCTGGGCAAACATCCTCAGTCCTTCTTGAAGTATTCACTGTCTAAGGAACCGTATTTGATTTGTCTCACTCCACTTTCATCTGTCACCTTCTCTATCACTGTTAATGGAAGTCCTGTTTCCACATCAAGCTCTGGTGAATTATCCCCTACCACCTTGATCTCTGGCCAATCAGCAACAGTTTTATGGAAAAGCTAATTCTCTCCACCTCCTTTTCTGATTTGTCCACCTTCACAGTTTCTGTTGATACTCTGCCACTCCTGGTGGTGGTCCACATCCTCATCAGGTTCTGTCTTATTGCCTTCCACTACCATCACAACCTTCACTGAAGGATCCAGTGGCTTCACCACTACTATTTATTCCTTCAACACAACCGATTTTTCCAATGACCCTCATACCATATCAGATCTTAGTCCATTATCCTTATAAAGACTCTCCATTCTTCTACTTCCCCAATGGTGAAGTGGATGGGAAGCTGGCCTGTGTGACAAAGTGCATCAGTGGACAAAGTTGAAACTGAACTTGTCCAGAGCAAGTGCCAGCTATAGAAAAGTGTTCCCCAATGCCTGTGAATACTCATACCCTCTAAGTCCGGTGTTCACCCTCTTTGGGGTAGAGCTGCACCTTTCCCACAGTCATCTGAGAGAGCCGGCTGCCATTATTACTTCTATCAGTAAGTTTAGGAGACTATAAAGTACAAAAACCAAGACATGGTAACAGGCTCATAAAGGTGCCAGCTACTTAGATATTAGATGGGTGGACATCTTGCATCTGGAATGAGGCAACCAACACTCCCATTCAGATTCTGAATTCCTGCTCTGCAGTAATGGGGTCCATCTACTGTCTCACTGCCCTTATCCTTGGGGAGTCAGGGAAAGTGTCCAAAACCTGCTCTCAAAGGGAGACCTAGTTTCCTGTGCATCAACATTGATTTTTTTTTTTCTTTTGAGAGAATGGGTATGAAGGATGTTGGTGGGCTGACACCAAATGTCTGAACTCAGGTACTCACTGGTACAGGGGAGAAACCTGTGAACTAAGCTGCTGGTGGTCACAGTGATTGTCCTGTCTTCTTTGGATGATTCCAGAGGAAACTGCACTTGTGAGCTTCTGGGGCTGTGCCTCATGAGGAAAGCAGGATTCATCCAAGGTCCACATGATTCAGTCCCTCCCAGTTCTGGGTAAAGCAAAGAATAGCCTGCTGGTCTGATAAGGTTTGACAAGGAAATGGAAACTAACACTTGTGTGCTGAACCTGTATGGTATAATAAAATTGTAATCACTTTGGTTGTTTGTAATCACTTTGGTTGCCACAGAGTCAAGGGCACTGGGAATGCCACACTAAGGCACTGGGAATGCACTGTCTGGCATCACTTTCCCCAGCTGTAGAATAGACAAGATCCAGCGGAGAAGGTTGGCATGAAATGCCACCTAGCACAGGCCTTGGCTGGCAGTCAGCAAAGGGAGACACTCTGATTCTAGTTCAATGCCTCCATCTCACATATGAGGAAACTGAAGCCCACTGAGGGGAGTAAAGGGGAAGCAGGACATGGTGATATCCCCAGGCACTTTCTTTGTTTTGGGCAACCCTTCCCTGACTCAGGGTTTGGCCATGCTCAGACCATAGGGAAGCTGAGTGTCAGGGCCTCCTGCGCCCCCTCTGCCACCAGCTGCTCACACCTTTCTGTTGGCAGATAAGAGTACAGTGTGTCTTGAAAGTGACAAAGAGAAGCCATCTTTGACAGTTTCAAGAGCACAGGCTTTTAGGAAGGTGTCTTTTGTCTGAAGCAACGATGGGGGCAAACCTGGAGGGTAAAAGGCCGAGAAGGCATTTCAGCCAGAACTGGTGAGGCTGTGGGTGACACTTGTCCAGCCATCTCATCTCACACCCGCTCTGACAGCCAGCTGACATTGAGTCCCCAAGGGCAGCGCTGATGACCTCCAGTCTTGGCTCCTCCAGTTCATGCACAGCCCATGCCCTGCCATTTTATGCACTGCTGACCCCTGAGCAGTTCCTCCTCCTGTTCCATCCTGACCCCAGTCAGACCCGCACCCACTATGGTCCATGACTTTTGACACCAGGACACATCAGGCTGCTGCTGCTCTGGTCTCCTCCTGTCACAGTGGACAAACTCCCACCTCATGCATAAGCTGCAGTGGTGGAAGGATGGATGGACCATGGGATGTGCAGCTTAGGACAGACATAGGACTATTCCTTTTACTGGAACCCCCAACCTTCTGCGACTCTCCAGCTTCTCCCAGGCTCACTCTCACTCCAGTACCTCTCACTATAGATCAGAATTTGAATGATAAATTCACTGACTCTGGGTTTTTTGTTTTGTTTTGTTTTGTTTTTAAATATATTTTATTGATTTTTTACAGAGAGGAAGAGAGAGAGATAGAGAGCTAGAAACGTCGATGAGAGAGAAACATCGACCAGCTGCCTCTTGCACCCCCCTCCCACTTGTAATATGCCCGCAACCAACGTATATGCCCCCGACCGGAATTGAACCTGGGACCCTGCAGTCCGCAGACCGACGCTCTACCACTGAGCCAAACCGGTTTCGTTGAATGATAAATTCAGCCTTGAAACCACTTATAGTGCTTCTGGCCTTCTCTAAAGAATGTTGACCAGAGGTGACTCAGGGGCCCGCCCCCAGCTAAGAACTGCTTGCATTTCCTTATTCTGCCCTCTGCCACCCTGGGGCTTCCAGAAAAGGACAGGGCACACTTGGTCCAGATGCAGTCACTCATACTCCGTGGCCATCACTGCAGGTCCTCTTAGCCTCACCTCTTCTCCCACCCTCCAGCTGTGCATTTAGAGGGCCAGGGAGGTGATAACTGCTCAAGAGTGGAGCAAGGCCTCTCAACCCTCACCCAGATCTGGACAAGAAGGCAGTAGCAGACAAAGAGCTCAGCACAGGTTAAGAGGAAACAGATGTAAGGGCCCAAGGTGGTCAGCTCAGAGCTGGCAAGCTGGGCCCTACCCTGAAGTGAGCCCCTCTCAGCTCTCCATCTACCCAGGAGTCCCAAGACTGCTCAGGCACCTCCTCATTCTTGTTTGCTCCACCCACAATGATTCTTAACTTTGGAATTTTCCTACCAATAAAAAAAGTCTAAAGAGCAGAGTGTGGGGTGTTCCCTTCCTTTCCTGTAGGGGCCTAATGCAGGCCTGGGTCTCTGGAAAGGTCTTTCCTGCAGAGCACTCCTGCAACGGTTGGATGTCAAGTTTAGACATGGGACACTTTTGACCCCTTCTTATGCCCACATGCAGACTATGGTGTCCTTTTCCTGCTCCTGGGGTTCCTAGGGCAGAGGAGCTAGGGTTACATCTGGGGGGAAAGAAGTGGCCCTCTGGCCCAGGGAGTAAGGGGTGAGAGCAAAGGAGTCAGCACTTGGCTTTGCTGACTTTGAGGGGGTGCCCAGGTCACTCCAGATGGCCATGAGGGCCCGTGTCCACCTGTGAACCCACAGATCCCTGGGCACACAGAACCAAGAATTCTTATTCATGCTAGGTTGATGTGGCCATGATCTGTTCCCTATGTCCTGGGTAGGAGGTGGGGGTGATCCATAGGAGCAGTGAAGAGGGCTTGAGCAGAGGGATGAAGTCAAACACAGGGCATCTTTCTCTTTTCAGACTCAGGCCCACTCCCCTCTCCTCCATTTCTCACCGCCCTCCATGGGTCTCCTCAGTTCTCCAGGCTGCTTCAGACCCTACACCTGCCCCTCTATTGGGGTGTGCCTATGTGCTTCCTGGTCAGGGAGGGGCTCCTACTTCTTCTGCCCTTTGGCCTGTCATGTGTGAAGCTCCCAGACTGACTCAGATTCAGCCCTGCCCCCACATCTCTAACATCTCAGGGAGCAAAGTGCTCTAGGATCTATTTATTTCTAAGGTTCCTTGGCTGATGTTTATTTTGCTCATTCTGGGTAGGGTGAAGGACAAGCACTCTACTCTCCAGAGCTCCAATGTCTAGGCTGATAACAACAACGAAACTCTACCTGCTGCCTCTTGTTCTCCAGCTCCTGTCTCTCCATGCTACTGCTGTACAAGGTGAGTGGCTCCTGGCCCCACTGCCCTCACAGCCTCAGCCCCAGCAGCATCTTTGAGATCTGCCCACAGCCTACGAGGGGCTGCTTCCTGGAGGCACAGATGGGGGTACATTCTGCCTTGGGTGCAGCTTATACCTCCCTCCTCTTCTATTGTCCCCACTGAGATCTGGGGATAGAATAAGGGCTTTGGAACTCGTCTAAGTTAGACTCCCTCAGCCTCAGTTTCCCTTCCAGAAAGTGAGAATAAGAAAGTCAACTTGTACCCAAGGTGGCCCAGTTGGTTGGAGTGTCATCCCATAAATTAAAAAGGTTGTGGTTCGCCAGGACCGGTTTGGCTCAGTGGATAGAGCGTCGGCCTGCGGACTGAAAGGTCCCGGGTTCGATTCCGGGCAAGGGCATGTACCTTGGTTGCGGGCACATCCCCAGTAGGGGGTGTGCAAGAGGCAGCTGGTCGATGTTTCTCTCTCATCGACGTTTCTAACTCTCTGTCCCTCTCAATTCCTCTCTGTGTAAAATCAATAAAATATATTAAAAAAAAAAAAAAAAAAAAGAAGAGGAAGAAGAAGAAAAAGATAAAGACAAAAATTAAAAAAAAAAAAAAAAAAAAAAAAAAAAAAAAGGTTGTGGTTCGATTCCCTGTTAGGGCACATACCTAGGTTGTGTGTTCAATTCCCGGTTGGGGCTTGTACAGGATTGATTGATATTTCTTACATCAATGTTTCTCTCTCTCTCTCTCCATTTCTCCTTCCCTCCCTCTCTCCCTCCCCCTCTAAAACCAGTAAAACATATCCTTGGATGAGGATTAAAAAAAAAAAAAAAAAAGAATGCCGACTTGTTAACACTAGAGGATTAGGTAGAATCCCATGGGCACAATCCCACACTAAGTGCCATGGTCTTTTTTTTTTTTTACATGGGACAAATGCCTCAAATCTCTGTTCTAACTCTTATCCTGGTCATCATTTCTGCATCATCCCACCCTGTTTCATGTCCCAAGACTGTTGGGTGTCCCAGAACCAGGAGAGGGACACTGCTGTAGCCAAATGGGCACAAGACGGAGTTTCAGGAGCTCCAGATTCTAATCCTCTCATGAAACTGTTATTGCACCGTCGGGCAACTGATTTCATCTCTGGTCTCTTTCTCCCCCTAAAGGACAAGGGCTCTCTAGGGTCCTTACAACTCAGCAACTCTTGGCTCCATGACTGTGGGAACAGCACTGGGGTTGGCAGAAGGTCTTGTTGGACCTTCCAAGAGCTCCCTCTGCCATTCCTGCCCCCGAGGAAGAGGGAGGCGATCCAAGGCAGAAACCAAATCTCAGGACTCCCAGCACTTTTAAATGCCATCCTGGGGTGGCCTGACCAGGGAAGGAAGGAGGTTTGGAGGCAAAAGCAGGGGCCTCATACCAGGTCCTGTGGATGTCATTCAAACCATCATGTCCTTGACTTTGTACTGTCCTGAGCTAAGATGTTAGGAGCAGTGAGAGCTCCTGGTGCCCTGGCCCCAGACCCTCATCAGCTCTTCTCCTAGGAGGAAATGAGATGGAGGAGGAGAAGAAAGTACACCTGAGCATAATTCTGGAACCAATATTGTTCTTAGCTCAAACCAACCCATAAGAACAGGGTCTTCTCTGAGGACCAAGCTGAGGGCTGACTGGGGAATAAAAAGGATGGGAAAGGCAGGGGAGAGATGCTGGGGCAAGGTGGCACAGTGGCTTGGCTTGCTCTAAAAGCCTGGCTCACTGATCTGAACTCTGTGTCACCTGGCCTCCAATGTCACCTGGTTCTGTTATTTTATTAGTATTAAGAATGACACCCTCTTTATGGGATCCTTCTAGACCCTTCAGACTCTTAGTCACTTTATCTCTAATGGCATTTTAGTTGGGAAAGATATTTCTAGCTCCATCTCATCCCTCTACCCCTATCTGTCCTTTCTTTCTCCCTGCTTTTCCCTTCCCTCTCTGGTTCTTCTCTCTCTCTCTCTCTCTCTCTCTCTCTCTCTCTCTCTCTCTCTCTCTCTCTCTCTCTCTCTTTTTCTTGACCTTCCTTTTCCTGCTTCTTTCTATCACCCCTCACCCTTGGCCTCTTCCCCACATTCCACACTGTGGCTCATTGTATCTCTAGCCTCAATCTCCCATCTGTGAAATGAAGCCTTTCAGATTATCTGTCCTACTCTTCAGGATTCTGTGTTCCCACCTCTGGGCCTGGAATTGGCTGCTCTATAGAGCCATGGACAGCTTTGAGTGGCATTTGACTTTTTCCCATGTCCCCTCTCTGGATCCCCAGAACCACATTCTTCCTCAGGCTACTGAGCTGGGGATGTCAGGTGGCCTCCACCTGTCTTTTCCTGGAAGACAAACCCTCTCAGCACTGTCCAACTCTTCTTCCAGCACACCCTGGTTATATTGTAAACCAACAAAACGCAATGTTCTCTCCACCCAGCCCATTCCTATCCAGCCTTGGGAAGGGTTCTCTCACCTCAACTCCCAGCAGGAATGCTCATTCATCTTTCTTTAAGGTGTCCTTCTGCCTTTTCTTTTTTCTTTTAAAAATATATATATTTTATTGATTTTTTTTACAGAGAGGAAGGGAGAGGGATAGAGAGTTAGAAACAAATAAGAGAGAACCATTGATTAGCTGCCTCCTGCACACCCCCTACTGGGGATATGCTTGCAACATGCCCTTCATAGGAATCGAACCTCGGACGTTTCAGTCCACAGGCCGATTCTCTGTCAACAGAGCCAAACTAGTTAGGGCTCCTCTGCCTTTTCCATCCTCCCCTGCCCACACTTGTCCTGGGCCTTTCACCCATTCTCTGTTTCCACCAACAACTTACTTTTGTCCTCCTCCTGAGGTAGTTTAAGGAGCTTACACTCAAGTGCCTTCTTTTCTAATTCTCCCACCCCTAACCCCACTCCATCAACAAGGTAGTCCTTTAGGTAGTCTTCCTGGGTATCTCCTCTAGTTTCTCCCTTTAAACCCACCCCTGCAACCACAGGTGCCCAGAAAGAGTGCATTTGCTTCCTATGACTCATAACAGTAGCAAAATTACAGTTATGAAGTAGCAACAAAAATAATTTTGTGGTTGGGGTCACCACAACATGAGGAACTGTATTAAAAGCTCTCCTAAGACACTCATCTCTATCTCCTTAACTAAGGGAGCCTTCTAGGCTCTCTCTGCACTCTCTCTCCCTGCACTGCGACCTGGAATTTGTTAAGTCAGTAAGCTAAGGTGATTGCAGGGTTCACCCCATTTATTTCCCGTTTCTCAGAAACCACAGCCCTTTGTTGCCTGGCATCTAGTGTATTATAAATCATTGTTTTGTATCCTTTGCATGTTTAAATGGTTGTTTAGGGGCTAGGTGTTGTTTTAGGTAGAAGGGGTAAGCCAACCCCCATTATTCCATCTTGGCCTGAAGTGAAGTCCAATAGCTTCAATGAGGGTCTTTATTAGCATGTAATGTATTTTACATACTTGGCTAATTAAGTTCCTTTAAAAATTTGAAGTTGCATTTATAAAATTAACACATTAAAATTTCTATTTAAAGACTTCATTTTATATTTTTTAAGACAGAAGAATATTTTTACTGCGATATAATTTCACATGCAATAAAATTCACCAGTGATTTTTGACATAGTCACAAGGTTGTGCAACAATCACCACTAATTCCTGAACATTTGCATCACCACAAAAAGAAACCCCATGCCTGTCAGCCATCGTTCCCCATTCTTCTAGCCATCACATTGCAGTCTTCTCTTCCCCAAGGTCCAGTCAGTGATTAATCCACTTTTTGTCTCAACATATTTGCCTATTCTGGATATTTTATTTAAATGAAATAATACAATATGTGGCCTTTTGTGTCTGGCTTCTTTTTTAATTAGATGTATTGGGGTGACATTGGTCAACATGATCATATAGGTTTCAGGTATGGGTTTCTATATATATTGGACCATGTGTTCACCACCCTAAGTCAAATCTTCCTCTGTCATCATATATGAGGACTCCCTTCTCCCTCTACCTCCTTCCCTCTGCTGTTTGTGTTCATGAGTTTCAGTTTTACATCCCACATATGAATGAAATCGTATGATTCTTAGCTTTTTCTGATTTATTTATTTTTATTTTAAAAATATACTTTATTGATTTTTTACAGAGAGGAAGAGAGAGGGATAGAGAGTTAGAAACATCGATAGAGAGAATCATTGATCAGCTGCCTCCTGCACATCCCCTACTGGGGACGTGTCCGCAACCAAGGTACATGCCCTTGACTGGAATCGAACATGGGACCCTTCAGTCCGAAGGCCGATATTCTATCCACTAAGCCAAACCGGTTTCAGCCCGACTGATTTATTTCACTTAGCATAATGTTCTTAAGGTCCATCCATGTTATTGCAAATGGCACTATTTCATCCTTTCTTATGGCTTCCATATGTATCCCATCTTCTTTATCCAGTCCTCTATCGCAGGACACTTTGGTTGTTTCCATGTCTTGGCCACCATGAATAATGCTACAATAGTGCATATATCTTGGTGAATACATGATTTTGAGATTTGAGGGCATATACCCAGGAGAGGAATTGCTGACTCTAGTCTCAATTTTTTGGGGAATCGGCAGACTGCTTTCCATAGTGATTGTACCAGTATACATTCCCACCAGCAGTGCATGAGGGTTCCCCTTTTCCACAACCTCTCCAACCCTTGTTACTGCTTGTCTTGTTAATAATGGCCACTCTAATAGGTATGAGGTGTTATCTCATTGTAGTTTTGATTTGCATTTCCATAATGGCCAGTGAGATTGAACATCTTTCCATATATCTATTGCCTATTAGTATGTCTTCTTGGTAGAAGTGAATTTTCAGGTCCTTTTTTTGATTAGGTTGTTTGTCTGCCCACTTTTTTGATTAGGTTGTTTGTCTGTTTGGTGTTGAGTTTTATGAGTTCTTTATATATTTTGGAAATTAAAACTTGGTCAGAGCTACTGTTTCCAAATATCACCTTCCATATGGTTGGCTTCCTCTTTATTTTGTTGTCAGTTTCTTTTGCTGTGCAGAAGGTTTTTAGTTTGATATAGTCCCATTCATTTATGTTTGCTTTTACTTCCCCTGCCTTTGGGGGTCAAGTTCATAAAATGATCTTTATGACCAAGGTCCATAAGTTTGGTACCTATATTTTCTTCTATGTAACTTAATGTTTTGGGTCTTATATTTAGGTCTTTGATCCATTTTAAATTAATTTTTGTACACGGTACAAACCCAGTTTCATTCATTTGCTTAAATTTATATATTTTTAAACTTCCCCCAAACTTGAGTAATTTTACATAGCTAATAAATAAATTTATATGGTGAATCTTAAGGTCTCTTAAATGTTCAAATACTATTTACAACCCTAGCAAGATTTTAATGTAAGATGACATGTCTAAATCAGTAACTCAAATATATATTTTAAATTAAAACTACAAGATTGGCATTTATTCCAATAGGCCAACTTCTTTTAAACAGTACAAATATATAAAATCCCTAATGTGAGTAGATTATTTAATAAAAAAATATTTATACTAAAAGTTTAAATTTCTTAAGGATGGTGAGAGTAATTGTGTCTGTTTCAGCTCTTTGCTGTATTATGACATTTTTATATCTTCTGTAATAAATATGTCCCAAATATAATGGCTTGACCAATATAGAAAGTGTTTTTATGCTCATGTAACAACACAAGGTAGATGTTCCTGGTTAGCAGATAGCTTTTCCTCATGTGCTGATTCAGGGATCTATGTTTCTTATTCCTGAGACTTCACTATTCCTTTGGGCCTCCTCACCTTTGGCCTCCAACAGGCAGAGCAAATGGGACCATGACAGAAGTTTTATGGCCCAGGCCTAGAACTGGCACCAGTCAGTTATGCTTACACTCCATTGAGAAGAACTTTGTCACAAGTAAACACTTATTTCTCTAAAGTCTGACTCCTGAATTGAACAGGAGTTTCCTGTCCTATACTTGCAGCATGCGACATTGCCCAAACTCCCCAAAGGCCTGTGAAGCCTCATCCCCAAATTCCTCATTTTACTTGTATCTGTACTAGGTCATGATGCTTGACTTCTAGACTGTGAAACAAGCAAGGAACTCACCCACCTGGGCCCTTTCCAAAAGATGGTGAGAGCACTCAAAATCTTTGAAAGAATGAAGGATCCCCAGACAGGGAAGAAGTATTGTAACTCTGGGACATTAACTTTCCTTTCTCTGAGAATTCAGTGAGGGCAGGGCTGTTTAGAACAGAGAAGAGTATATGCCTCAGAAGGACCTCCAGAAACACAAGTGCTAGCAGAGCAATAGAGCAAGTGAAGCACCGCAGATCTCGAGGCACAGCAAAGTGTGCCTCATCAACCAAAAATATTGGAACAATACTGAGCATGCTGGGAAAGAGAAATATTTTATAGCCCCTGACTACTCAGTTTCAGAGGCCTTACAGAAACTCTCCAAGTTTTGAGGGAATCAGTGGTCTGTGGAAAAGAGTTCAGGATCAACGAGACTCAAAATAGCTTAGAAGAGAGGGTAAAAAAACCAAATTGATCCACAACTATGTCCAGTTCATTGCAGACAATAAATTTTGATACCTAAATTTCTATGAAAAATATCTTTTACAGGCAAGACCAGAAATGCTACTTCATCTTCAACAATTCCGACTGCCAATTATACCGTCCAACACGCTTCTACTACAATTTCAAGAGCTACTAGCAAATCTTCTACAATGGCTAGTAAAACCAGTAGAACTGAAACATCTACTGCAGAGACTACTGCATCATCAACAATGTCTTCTGGTGGCACCACTCCTCTGACAGCCACTACAGAGGATGATGCATCTTTAGTAACTTCTACTGACAGTGCCATTTCAATGCCTACTGAAGAGACGTCTACATTTCCTACAAATCCTACTGACATCCATGACACCAGCACCCAGATGACAATCACAACCGACACTGAGGTATCTTCAGCAAATCCTTCTTACAGTGACACTCCTGGGACAACATCTATAGAGGATGGTTCACCTTCAACAACTCTGGCCGGCAGCATCTCTCCTGATACAACAGAAGGTAGCACATCTTCAACAATGTCTAGTGACACCAGTAGCCCTGCAACATCTATTGCAGAGGATATTGTATCACCAACAATGCTTTCTGATGGTACCACTACTCTGACAGTCTCTACAGAGGATGATGCATCTTTAGTAACTTCTACTGACAGTGCCATTTCAATGCCTACTCCTGAAGAGACATCTACATTTCCTACAAATCCTACTGACACCCATGACACCAGCACCCAGATGACAATCACAACTGACACTGAGGTATCTTCAGCAAATCCTTCTTACAGTGACACTCCTGGGACAACATCTAAAGAGGATGGTTCACATTCAACAACTCTGGCCGGCAGCATCTCTCCTGATACAACAGAAGGTAGCACATCTTCAACAATGTCTAGTGACACCAGTAGCCCTGCAACATCTATTGCAGAGGATACTGTATCACCAACAATGCTTTCTGATGGCACCACTACTCTGACAGCCTCTACAGAGGATGATGCATCTTTAGTAACTTCTACTGACAGTGCCATTTCAAAGCCTACTCCTGAAGAGACGTCTATATTTCCTACAAATCCTACTGACAACGATGACACCAGCACCCAGATGACAATCACAACCAACACTGAGGTATCTTCAGCAAATCCTTCTTACAGTGACACTCCTGGGACAACATCTAAAGAGGATGGTTCACATTCAACAACTCTGGCCGGCAGCATCTCTCCTGATACAACAGAAGGTAGCACATCTTCAACAATGTCTAGTGACACCAGTAGCCCTGCAACATCTATTGCAGAGGATACTGTATCACCAACAATGCTTTCTGATGGCACCACTACTCTGACAGCCTCTACAGAGGATGATGCATCTTTAGTAACTTCTACTGACAGTGCCATTTCAAAGCCTACTCCTGAAGAGACGTCTATATTTCCTACAAATCCTACTGACAACGATGACACCAGCACCCAGATGACAATCACAACCGACACTGAGGTATCTTCAGCAAATCCTTCTTACAGTGACACTCCTGGGACAACATCTAAAGAGGATGGTTCACATTCAACAACTCTGGCCGGCAGCATCTCTCCTGATACAACTTCAACAGAAGGTAGCACATCTTCAACAATGTCTAGTGACACCAGTAGCCCTGCAACATCTATTGCAGAGGATACTGTATCACCAACAATGCTTTCTGATGGCACCACTACTCTGACAGCCTCTACAGAGGATGATGCATCTTTAGTAACTTCTACTGACAGTGCCATTTCAAAGCCTACTCCTGAAGAGACGTCTACATTTCCTACAAATCCTACTGACAACGATGACACCAGCACCCAGATGACAATCACAACCGACACTGAGGTATCTTCAGCAAATCCTTCTTACAGTGACACTCCTGGGACAACATCTAAAGAGGATGGTTCACCTTCAACAACTCTGGCCGGCAGCATCTCTCCTGATACAACAGAAGGTAGCACATCTTCAACAATGTCTAGTGACACCAGTATCCCTATAACGTCTACTGCAGAGGCTAGTGCACCACCAACAATGTCTATTGGTGGAACCACTCCTCTGACAGCCTCCACAGATTCCATTGTGTCATCAAAATCTTATACAGACACTGCTACCCCTGTGCCAGTGTCTACAAAGGCTGGTGCATCTTCAACAGCTTCTACTGACAGTGCCATTTCCGTGACAACTCCTACAGAGGCTTCTGCATCCACTACAACTCCCAGTGCCATCACCACCCAGATGACAACCACAACAGAAACTGTGGGGCCTTCAGCAACTCCAACTGACAGCTTAACTCCTGGGATAACACCCACAGAGGCTGGTGCATCTTCAACAACTTCTACTGAAAGTGCCACTACAGTGACAACTCCTACAGAGGCTTCCGCATCCACTACAACATCTAGTGCAAGTACCACCCAGATCACAACCACAACAGAGACTGGGGGATCTACACCAACTCCTACTGACAGTGTCACTCCTGGGACAACACCCACAGAGGCTTCTGCATCCACTACAGCTCCTACTGCCAGCATCACCCAGATGACAACGAAAACAGAAATTGTGGGACCTTCAGCAACTCCTACTGACAGCTTCACTCTTGGGACAACACCCACAGAGGCTGGTTCATCTTCAACAACTCTGGCCGGCAGCATCTCTCCTGATACAACTGCAAGAGAAGGTAGAACATCTCCAACAATGTCTAGTGACACCAGTAGCCCTGTAACGTCTACTGCAGAGGCTACTTTACCACCAACAACGCCTTCTGGTGGCACCACTCCTCTGACAGCCTCCACAGATTCCACTGTGTCCTCAACATCTTCAACAGACAGTGCCACCACTCTGACAGTGTCTACAGAGGATGGTGCATCTTCAGCAACTTCTACTGACAGGGCCACTTCTGTGACAACTCCTACACGAGCTTCTGCATCCACTACAACTCCTAGTGCCAGCACCACCCAGATGACAACAACAACAGAAACTGTGGGACCTTCAGCAACTCCTACTGTCAACTTCACTCCTGGGACAACACTCACAGAGGCTGGTTCATCTTCAACAACTCTGGCTGGCAGCATCTCCACTGACACAACTTCAACAGATGGTAGCACATCTTCAAAAATGTCTAGTGACCCCAGTAGCCCTGTAACGTCTACTGCAGAGGCTAGTGCACCAACAATAATGCCTTCTGGTGGCACCACTCCTCTTACAGCCTCCACAGATTCCACTGTGTCCTCAACATCTGCTACAGACAGTGCCACCACTGTGACAGTGTCTACAGGGGCTGGTGCATCTTCAACAAGTTCTACTGACAGTGCCAATCTCGTGACAACTGCTACAGAGGCGTCTGCATCCACTACAGCTCCTACTGCCAGCACCACCCAGATGACAATGAAAACAGAAACTGTGGGACCTTCAGCAACTCCTACTGACAGCTTCACTTTTGGGACAACACCCGAAGAGGCTGGTTCATCTTCAACAAATGTGGCCAGCAGCATCTCTCCTGATACAACTTCAACAAAAGGTAGCACATCTTCAACAATGTCTAGTGTGTCCAGTAGCCCTCTAACGTCTACTGCAGAGGCTACTGCACCACCAACAGCGCCTTCTGGTGGCACCACTCCTCTGACAGCCTACACAGATTCCACTGTGTCCTCAACATCTTCTACAGACAGTGCCACCACTGTGACAGTATCTACAGGGGCTGGTGCATCTTCAACAACTTCTACTGACAGTGCCACTATCGTGACAACTCCTACAGCAGCTGCCCCATCCACTACAACTTCTAGTGCAAGTACCACCCAGATCACAATCACAACAAAGACTGGGGGATCTACAGCAACTCCTACTGACAGTGCATCTCCTGTGACAACTCCTTCACAGGCTTATGCATCCACTACAGCTCTTAGTCCCAGCATCACCCAGATGACAACCACTACAGAAACTGGGGGACCTTCAGCAACTCCTACTGACAGCTTCACTCCTGGGACAACACCCACAGAGACTGGTTCAGCGTCAACAACTCTTGCCAGCAGCATCCTTCCTGATACAACTTCAACAGAAGGTAGCACATCTTCAACAATGTCTAGTGTCCCCATTAACCCTGTAATGTCTACTGCAGTGTCTACTGCACCACCAACAACGCCTTCTGGTGGCACCACTCCTCTGACAGCCTCCACAGATTCCACTTTGTCCTCAACATCTGCTACAGACATTGCAACCACTGTGCCAGTGTCTACAGAGGCTGGTGCATCTTCAACAACTTCTACTGACAGTGCCACTCTCGTGACAACTCCTACAGCGGCTGCCCCATCCACTACAACTTCTAGAGCAAGTACCACCCAGATCACAACCACAACAGAGACTGGGGGATCTTCAGCAATTTCTACTGACAGTGCCACTCCTGTGACAACTCCTACAGAAGCTTCTGCATCCACTACAGCTCCTACTGTCTGCACCACCCAGATGACAAGAACAACAGAAACTGTGGGACCTTCAGCAACTCCTACTGACAGCTTCACTCCTGGGACAACACCCGCAGATGCTGGTTCATCTTCAACAACTCTGGCCAGCAGCATCTCTCCTGATACAACAGAAGGTAGCACATCTTCAACAATGTCTAGTGACACCAGTAGCCCTCTAACGTCTACGGCAGAGGCTACTGCACCACCAACAGCGCCTTCTGGTGGCACCACTCCTCTGACAGCCTACACAGATTCGACTCTGTCTTCAACATCTTCTACAGACAGTGCCACCACTGTGACAGTGTCTACAGGGGCTGGTGCATCTTCAACAACTTCTACTGACAGTGCCACTATCGTGACAATTCCTACAGAGGCTTCCGCATCTACTACAACTTGTAGTGCAAGTACCACCCAGATCACAACCACAACAGAGACTGGGGAATCTACAGCAACTCTTACTGACAGTGCCACACCTTTCACAACTCCTACAGAGGCATCTGTATCCACTACAGCTCCTAGTGCCAGCACTATCCAGATGACAGCTACAACAGAAACTCTTGGACCTTCAGCAACTCCTACTGACAGCTTCACTCCTGGGACAACACCCACAGAGGCTGGTTCAGTGTCAACAACTCTGGCCAGCAGCATCCTTCCTGATACAACTTCAACAGAAGGTAGCACATCTTCAACAATGTCTAGTGTCCCCAGTAGCCCTGTAACGTCTACTGCAGATGCTTGTGCACCAACAACAATGCCTTCTGGTGGCACCACTTCTCTGACAGCCTCCACAGATTCGACTGTGTCCTCAACATCTTCTACAGACATTGCCACCACTGTGACAGTGTCTACAGAGGCTGGTGCATCTTCAACAACTTCTACTGACAGTGCCACTCTCGTGACAACTCCTATCGAGGCTTCCGCATCCACTACAACTTCTAGTGCAAGTACCACTGAGATCACAACCACAACAGAGACTGGGGGATCTTCAGCAATTTCTACTGACACTGCCAATCCTGTGACAACTCCTACTGTGGCTTCTGCATCCACTACAGCTACTACTGCCAGGACCACCCAGATGACATCCACAACAGAAACTGTGGGACCTTCTGCAACACCTACTGACAGCTTCACTCCTGGAACAACACCCGAAGAGGCTGGTTCATCTTCAACGACTCTGGCCGGCAGCATCTCTCCTGATACAACTTCAACAGAAGGTAGCACATCTACAACAATGTCTAGTGACACCAGTAGCTCTGTAATGTCTACTGCCGAGGCTACTGTACCACCAACAGCGCCTTCTGGTGGCACCACTCCTTTGACAGCCTCCACAGATTCATCTGTGTCCTCAACATCTTCTACAGACAGTGCCACCACTCTGACAGTGTCTACAGGGGCTGGTGCATCTTCAACAACTTCTACTGACAGTGCCACTATCGTGACAACTCCTACAGCAGCTGCCCCATCCACTACAACTTCTAGTGCAAGTACCACCCAGATCACAACCACAACAAAGACTGGGGGATCTACAGCAACTCCTACTGACAGTGCCACTCCTGTGACAACTCCTACAGAGGCATCTGTATCCACTACAGCTCCAGATGCCAGCACCACCCAGACAACAACCACAACAGAAACTGAGGGACCTTCAGCAACTCCTACTGACAGCTTCACTCCTGGGACAACACCCGAAGAGGCTGGTTCATCTTCAACAACTCTGGCCAGCAGCATCTCTCCTGATACAACTTCAACAGAAGGTAGCACATCTTCAACCATGTCTAGTGACACCAGTAGCCCTGTAACGTCTACTGCAGAGGCTACTACACCACCACCAACACCTTCTGGTGGGACAACTCCTCTGACAGCCTCCACAGATTCCACTGTGTCCTCAACATCTTCTACAGACAGTGCCCCCACTGTGACAGTGTCTACAGAGGCTGGTGCATCTTCAACAACTTCTACTGACAGTGCCACTGTCGTGACAACTCCTACAGAGGCTTCCGCATCCACTACAACTTCTAGTGCAAGTACCAGCCCGATCACAACCACAACAGAAACTGGGGGATCTTCAGCAACTCCTACTGACAGTGCCAATCCTGTGACAACTCCTACAGAGGCTTCTGCATCCACTACAGCTCCTACTGCCAACACCACCCAGATGACAACCACAACAGAAACTGTGTTACCTTCAGCAATGCCTACTGATAGCTTCACTCCTGGGACAACACCCACAGAGGCTGGTTCAGTGTCAACAACTCTGGCCAGCAGCATCTCTTCTGATACAACTTCAACAGAAGGTAGCACATCTTCAACCATGTCTAGTGTCCCCAGTAGCCCTGTAACGTCTACTGCAGATGGTAGTGCACCAACAACAATGCATTCTGGTGTTACCACTCCTCTGACAGCCTCCACAGATTCGACTCTGTCTTCAACATCTTCTACAGACAGTGCCACCACTGTGACAGTGTCTACCGAGGCTGGTGCATCTTCAACAACTTCTACTGACAGTGCCACTCTCGTGACAACTCCTACCGAGGCTTCCGCATCCACTACAACTTCTAGTGCAAGTACCACTGAGATCACAACCACAACAGAGACTGGGGGATCTTCAGCAATTTCTACTGACACTGCCATTCCTGTGACAACTCCTACTGTGGCTTCTGCATCCACTGCAGCTACTACTGCCAGGACCACCCAGATGACAACCACAACAGAAACTGTGGGACCTTCTGCAACTCCTACTGACAGCTTCACTCCTGGGACAACACCCGAAGAGGCTGGTTCATCTTCAACGACTCTGGCCGGCAGCATCTCTCCTGATACAACTTCAACAGAAGGTAGCACATCTACAACAATGTCTAGTGACACCAGTAGCCCTGTAATGTCTACTGCCGAGGCTACTGTACCACCAACAGCGCCTTCTGGTGGCACCACTCCTTTGACAGCCTCCACAGATTCATCTGTGTCCTCAACATCTTCTACAGACAGTGCCACCACTCTGACAGTGTCTACAGGGGCTGGTGCATCTTCAACAACTTCTACTGACAGTGCCACTATCGTGACAACTCCTACAGCAGCTGCCCCATCCACTACAACTTCTAGTGCAAGTACCACCCAGATCACAACCACAACAAAGACTGGGGGATCTACAGCAACTCCTACTGACAGTGCCACTCCTGTGACAACTCCTACAGAGGCATCTGTATCCACTACAGCTCCAGATGCCAGCACCACCCAGACAACAACCACAACAGAAACTGACGGACCTTCAGCAACTCCTACTGACATCTTCACTCCTGGGACAACACCCGAAGAGGCTGGTTCATCTTCAACAACTCTGGCCAGCAGCATCTCTCCTGATACAACTTCAACAGAAGGTAGCAAATCTTCAACCATGTCTAGTGACACCAGTAGCCCTGTAACGTCTACTGCAGAGGCTACTACACCACCACCAACACCTTCTGGTGGGACAACTCCTCTGACAGCCTCCACAGATTCCACTGTGTCCTCAACATCTTCTACAGACAGTGCCCCCACTGTGACAGTGTCTACAGAGGCTGGTGCATCTTCAACAACTTCTACTGACAGTGCCACTGTCGTGACAACTCCTACAGAGGCTTCCGCATCCACTACAACTTCTAGTGCAAGTACCAGCCCGATCACAACCACAACAGAAACTGGGGGATCTTCAGCAACTCCTACTGACAGTGCCAATCCTGTGACAACTCCTACAGAGGCTTCTGCATCCACTACAGCTCCTACTGCCAACACCACCCAGATGACAACCACAACAGAAACTGTGTTACCTTCAGCAATGCCTACTGATAGCTTCACTCCTGGGACAACACCCACAGAGGCTGGTTCAGTGTCAACAACTCTGGCCAGCAGCATCTCTTCTGATACAACTTCAACAGAAGGTAGCACATCTTCAACCATGTCTAGTGTCCCCAGTAGCCCTGTAACGTCTACTGCAGATGGTAGTGCACCAACAACAATGCATTCTGGTGTTACCACTCCTCTGACAGCCTCCACAGATTCGACTCTGTCTTCAACATCTTCTACAGACAGTGCCACCACTGTGACAGTGTCTACCGAGGCTGGTGCATCTTCAACAACTTCTACTGACAGTGCCACTCTCGTGACAACTCCTACCGAGGCTTCCGCATCCACTACAACTTCTAGTGCAAGTACCACTGAGATCACAACCACAACAGAGACTGGGGGATCTTCAGCAATTTCTACTGACACTGCCATTCCTGTGACAACTCCTACTGTGGCTTCTGCATCCACTGCAGCTACTACTGCCAGGACCACCCAGATGACAACCACAACAGAAACTGTGGGACCTTCTGCAACTCCTACTGACAGCTTCACTCCTGGGACAACACCCGAAGAGGCTGGTTCATCTTCAACGACTGTGGCCGGCAGCATCTCTCCTGATACAACTTCAACAGAAGGTAGCACATCTACAACAATGTCTAGTGACACCAGTAGCCCTGTAATGTCTACTGCCGAGGCTACTGTACCACCAACAGCGCCTTCTGGTGGCACCACTCCTTTGACAGCCTCCACAGATTCATCTGTGTCCTCAACATCTTCTACAGACAGTGCCACCACTCTGACAGTGTCTACAGGGGCTGGTGCATCTTCAACAACTTCTACTGACAGTGCCACTATCGTGACAACTCCTACAGCAGCTGCCCCATCCACTACAACTTCTAGTGCAAGTAACACCCAGATCACAACCACAACAAAGACTGGGGGATCTACAGCAACTCCTACTGACAGTGCCACTCCTGTGACAACTCCTACAGAGGCATCTGTATCCACTACAGCTCCAGATGCCAGCACCACCCAGACAACAACCACAACAGAAACTGAGGGACCTTCAGCAACTCCTACTGACAGCTTCACTCCTGGGACAACACCCGAAGAGGCTGGTTCATCTTCAACAACTCTGGCCAGCAGCATCTCTCCTGATACAACTTCAACAGAAGGTAGCACATCTTCAACCATGTCTAGTGACACCAGTAGCCCTGTAACGTCTACTGCAGAGGCTACTACACCACCACCAACACCTTCTGGTGGGACAACTCCTCTGACAGCCTCCACAGATTCCACTGTGTCCTCAACATCTTCTACAGACAGTGCCCCCACTGTGACAGTGTCTACAGAGGCTGGTGCATCTTCAACAACTTCTACTGACAGTGCCACTGTCGTGACAACTCCTACAGAGGCTTCCGCATCCACTACAACTTCTAGTGCAAGTACCAGCCCGATCACAACCACAACAGAAACTGGGGGATCTTCAGCAACTCCTACTGACAGTGCCAATCCTGTGACAACTCCTACAGAGGCTTCTGCATCCACTACAGCTCCTACTGCCAACACCACCCAGATGACAACCACAACAGAAACTGTGTTACCTTCAGCAATGCCTACTGATAGCTTCACTCCTGGGACAACACCCACAGAAGCTGGTTCATCTTCAACAACTCTGGCCGGCAGTATCTCTTCTGATACAACTTCAACTGAAGGTAGCACATCTTCAACCATGTCTAGTGTCCCCAGTAGCCCTGTAACGTCTACTGCAGATGGTAGTGCACCAACAACAATGCATTCTGGTGTTACCACTCCTCTGACAGCCTCCACAGATTCGACTCTGTCTTCAACATCTTCTACAGACAGTGCCACCACTGTGACAGTGTCTACCGAGGCTGGTGCATCTTCAACAACTTCTACTGACAGTGCCACTCTCGTGACAACTCCTACCGAGGCTTCCGCATCCACTACAACTTCTAGTGCAAGTACCACTGAGATCACAACCACAACAGAGACTGGGGGATCTTCAGCAATTTCTACTGACACTGCCATTCCTGTGACAACTCCTACTGTGGCTTCTGCATCCACTGCAGCTACTACTGCCAGGACCACCCAGATGACAACCACAACAGAAACTGTGGGACCTTCTGCAACTCCTACTGACAGCTTCACTCCTGGGACAACACCCGAAGAGGCTGGTTCATCTTCAACGACTCTGGCCGGCAGCATCTCTCCTGATACAACTTCAACAGAAGGTAGCACATCTACAACAATGTCTAGTGACACCAGTAGCCCTGTAATGTCTACTGCCGAGGCTACTGTACCACCAACAGCGCCTTCTGGTGGCACCACTCCTTTGACAGCCTCCACAGATTCATCTGTGTCCTCAACATCTTCTACAGACAGTGCCACCACTCTGACAGTGTCTACAGGGGCTGGTGCATCTTCAACAACTTCTACTGACAGTGCCACTATCGTGACAACTCCTACAGCAGCTGCCCCATCCACTACAACTTCTAGTGCCAGCACCACCCAGATCACAACCACAACAGAAACTGAGGGACCTTCAGCAACTCCTACTGACAGCTTCACTCCTGGGACAACACCCGAAGAGGCTGGTTCATCTTCAACAACTCTGGCCGGCAGCATCTCTCCTGATACAACTTCAACAGAAGGTAGCACATCTTCAACCATGTCTAGTGTCCCCAGTAGCCCTGTAACGTCTACTGCAGATGCTAGTGCACCAACAACAATGCCTTCGGGTGGCACAACTCCTCTGACAGCCTCCACAGATTCGACTGTGTCTTCAACATCTTCTACAGACAGTGCCACCACTGTGACAGTGCCTACAGGGGCTGGTGCATCTTCAACAACTTCTACTGACAGTGCCACTCTCGTGACAACTCCTACAGACTCTTCCGCATCCACTACAACTTCTAGTGCCAGTACCACCCAGGTCACAACCACAACAGAGACTGGGGGATCTACAGCAACTCCTACTGACAGTGCCACTGCTGTGACAATTCCTACACAGGCTTATGCATCCACTACAGCTCCTAGTCCCAGCACCAGCCAGACAACAACCACAACAGAAACAGGGGGTTCTTCATCAACTCCTACTTATAGCGTCACTCCTGGGACAACACCCACAGAAGCCAGTTCATCTTCAACCACTCTGGCCGGCAGCATCTCTCCTGATACAACTTCAACAGAAGGTAGCACATCTTCAACAATGTCTAGTGACACCAGTAGCTCTGTGACGTCTACTGCAGAGGCTAGTGCACAACCAACAATGTCTTCTGGTGGCACCACTACTCTGACAGCCTCCACAGATTCGACTGTGTCCTCAACATCTTCTACAGACAGTGCCACCACTCTGACAGTGTCTACAGAGGCTGGTGCATCTTCAACAACTGTGGCCGGCAGCATCTCTCCCGATACAACTTCAACAGAAGGTAGCACATCTTCAACAATGTCTAGTGTCCGCAGTACACCGGTAACGTCTACTGCAGAGGCTACTACACCACCACCAACGGCTTCTGGTGGCACCACTCCTCTGACAGCCTCCACATATTCCTCTGTGTCCTCAACATCTTCTACAGACATTGCCACCACTGTGACAGTGTCTACAGAGGCTGGTGTATCTTCCACAACTTTTACTGACAGTGCCACTATCGTGACAACTCCTACAGCAGCTGCTCCATCCAATACAACTTCTAGTGCAAGTATCACCCAGACCACAACCACAACAAAGACTGGGGGATCTACAGCAACTCCTACTGACAGTGCCACTCCTGTGACAACTCCTACAGAGGCTTCTGCATCCACTACAGCTCCTAGTGCCAGCACCACCCAGATGACAACCACAACAGACACTGTGGGACCTTCAGCAACTCCTACTGACAGCTTCACTCTTGGGACAACACCCACAGAGGCTGGTTCATCTTCAACAACTCTGGCCGGCAACCTCTCTCCTGATACAACTTCAACAGAAGGTAGCACATCTTCAACAATGTCTAGTGACACCAGTAGCCCTGTAACGTCTACTGCAGACGCTACTGTACCACCAACAACGACTTCTGGTGGCACCACTCCTCTGACAGCCTCCACATATTCCTCTGTGTCCTCAACATCTTCTACAGACAGTGCCACCACTCGGACAGTGTCTACAGAGGCTGGTCCATCTTCAACAACTTCCACTGACAGTGCCACTCCCGTGACAACTCCTACAGAGGCTTCCACATCCACTACAACTTCTAGTGCAAGTACCACCCAGATCACAACCACAACAGAGACTGGGGGATCTTCAGCAACTCCTACTGACAGTGTCACTCTTGGGACAACTCCTAAAGAGTCTTCTGCATCCACTACAGCTTCTAGTGCCAGAACTATCCAGATGACAACCACAACAGTAACTGTTGGACCTTCAGCAACTCCTACTGACAGCTTCACTCCTGGGACAACACCCACAGAGGCTGGTTCATCTTCACCAACTCTGGCTGGCAGCATCTCTCCTGATACAACATCAACAAAAGGTAGCACATCTTCAACAATGTCTAGTGACTCCAGTAGCCCTGTAACGTCTACTGCAGAATCTAGTGCACCCACAACAATGCCTTCTGGTGGCACCACTCCTCTGACAGCCTCCACAGATTCCACTTTGTCTTCAACAACTTCTTCAGACAGTGCCACCACTGTGACAGTGCCTACAGGGGCTGGTGCATCTTCAACAACTTCTACTGACAGTGCCACTCTCGTGACAACTCCTACAGACTCTTCCGCATCCACTACAACTTCTAGTGCCAGTACCACCCAGGTCACAACCACAACAGAGACTGGGGGATCTACAGCAACTCCTACTGACAGTGCCACTGCTGTGACAATTCCTACACAGGCTTATGCATCCACTACAGCTCCTAGTCCCAGCACCAGCCAGACAACAACCACAACAGAAACAGGGGGTTCTTCATCAACTCCTACTTATAGCGTCACTCCTGGGACAACACCCACAGAAGCCAGTTCATCTTCAACCACTCTGGCCGGCAGCATCTCTCCTGATACAACTTCAACAGAAGGTAGCACATCTTCAACAATGTCTAGTGATACCAGTAGCTCTGTGACGTCTACTGCAGAGGCTAGTGCACAACCAACAATGTCTTCTGGTGGCACCACTACTCTGACAGCCTCCACAGATTCCACTGTGTCCTCAACATCTTCTATAGACAGTGCCACCACTCGGACAGTGTCTACAGAGACTGGTGCATCTTCAACAACTTCTACTGACAGTGCCACTCCCATGACAACTCCTACAGAGTCTTCTGCATCCACTACAACTCCTAGTGTCAGCACCACACAGATGACAACCAGAACAGAAACTCCTACTTACAGTGTCACTCCTGGAACAACACTCACAAAGTCTATTTCATCTTCAACAAGCCAGTTTGCCTCCAGCACAGTTTTTCCCACCACTACTGATAAGAATTCTTCTGTTTCCACTGTAGGGTACAGCACTCTATCTGTCTCAGTTTCTACAGAAGGTGTTAGTTCTGTAACAACTATTTCTGACACCACCACTCTTATATCAATTACTTCTAATTCTGACATTCCCTCATCAAGTGTTGTTGGCTCTACATCTATGACACTTTCCACTAAATCAAATACACCCACTACTATCAGTGCTGCCACCATATCTGTTTCAACTCCTAAGGAGGTCAACACAACTGCAACATCTATTGCTACCACTCCTACAACCAGCACACCTGTCACTTCTGCTTCAACTCCTACTCAGTCCAACACACCTACCACATCTTCCTTTGCCACCACCTCTCCTATGACCAGTACCCCAAAAGCTAGCACATTTTCAACAGTTGTTTCTAGCACCACCTCACCTATGTCTACTCCTGGCCACTCTACCCCTACAACAACCTCTGCCTCCTCCACTTCTGGAACCTCTGTCACCACCACGACTGTCTCAACCTCAACAGCTGGAATAAAACCTACCACTCAGAGTGCTACATCCACGACAGTCACCATTGTCTCTAGTGTTATACCAACAATAGCAAGTAAGTAATTTCTGAATTCACTTTTTAAATACTTAAATTACTTTTCAATCTACCTTTTTGTGGTTTTCTTCTTAAACTTTTTCTCATTCACTTCTAATGCTCTTACTTGTTTTCCATTAAATACAAACCTCTGCGTCCTATCACTGAAACATTTATTTCTCTATTTGTTTTGATGCTTCTTTCACTAGGCCACTCTTCTGTACAACATAGTTTATCTCTCTCCTTGGACACCTTCAATCCCCAGTAAGGTGTGCACACATCCTATTTCCTTCCTTTTATGCTCTGCAAGTGCCTGTCCCATGGCATTTTATATATTATAATTTCCTTAACTTTGTATCTTTCATTTGCATCTTTACATATTTCAGAGAAGTTTTTCTCATTGATTTTGCACATGCTTAAGGGCAAAGTTTTGTTTTGTTTTGTTTTTGCAGAAAGATATTGTCAATAATATTGACATGTGGCTTTAGACACTGTCTCTCTACCACAATTCACTTTTATTTTGTTTTGTCTTATCCTTTGAGCATCCAGCAAAAGAAAGTTCACTTTTACCAGTTCTGAACTCTACCTCCATGTCATTGAATATTCATCCTTATGCATTCTTCTTTTCTCTCTGACTCTCAAGATTTCATTCAGCTCTCTTCACTTTGGTTAGAACGAGTCACGCCATACCTATTGTTATAATATGATATACCATTATACCTGTCAGTATTATCAGATTGAAGAAGGATTTTTGGCATGCATTAAAGAAAGTACAGCTGGCCCTCGAATAACGTTGTCTCATTCAATGTTGTTTTATTATAATGAGATGCCATAGTGACTTAACTCTTGTTTATATCAATCAGCTTATGTAGAATTGGTTTCATTATACATTATTTCACTTCACAGAACCTATTGAGGATGTTAAGTGAGGACTTACTGTGTACCAGTTAAAATACTTGAAAGTTTTACTTATTTAAATTAATTATAGATATGATCACGGACATATATGACCCATGTCTGCACAGGATACTGCCCAATCTGTCTTGAATTGATAAAAAGGAAAGGTGGTTTTTCAGCTTTTGGCTATTGCATTTTCTCGGGGCTTTGTAAATTCTTCCTCTGTTGTGTTCTGCTTTGCCTGACCTTCCTATTATATGGCTTTGTTCTCTGGTTTCTCTCCAATGTGTCTTTGTCTTAGTGAGTTCACTCTGGTTCTCAGGGGATGGGCTGAGCATCTTCAGAAAGGCGATTTGGACCTTGTGTTCCCAGGAAGCCCCACTGGTATTTCACAGAGAATGCCAAGTGAATGCATGACTGCTGAGCCCAAAGCTAATTTTGGTCATCACCTGATGGCAGATGGTCTCTTTCTGTCTTCCTCCTGTCCCCTGGAGGTTGGCTTTCTTTTTAGACTATTGGGCATTAGGTGAACACACACCAGCAGCTGCTTTTGCTGTTATGCACAAGCCTAAGCTTAAGCACTTAGATCAGGTCTGATCATTCTTCAGGGGAGAGAGAGAGAGAGAGAGAGAGAGAGAGAGAGAGAGAGAGAGAGAGAGAGAGAGAGAGAGAGAGAGAGAGAGAGAGAGAGAGAGAGAGAGAGAGAGAGAGAGAGAGAGAGAGAGAGAGAGAGAGAGAGAGAGAGAGAGAGAGAGAGACTATCTTGGACCAAAGGCTGTAAACAGAAACTGTGTGATGTGACTGTCATGGATGTGGCCTCTGCTCTGGTGAGGGTAGACCAGGAGGCAGAGGTAGGGCAGTCCTTTGTAGAGTATATGCACAACTCCTGTGCCTCCCCAGAGGAACCATATCTCAAATACTGGTCTTCATAGGCACAGATCTTTTAAGAAAAGCCAAATGAATCGAGCTTTAGATATTCTAAGTTGGTTGGTGTAGATATTTGAGCATTGTCTATAACCACTTCATATGTATTTACACTAAGTTTACACTCCTCCTCAAACTTCATGTCCAAGCAAATAAAAATGAATCATAGACACTCACAATGGCAAAATTTTCCAGGACAAACTCTTCTGAAGCAGGCATTGAAGGGACAATGACATGCTTATTCCCAAGCTTGGTGGATTCCAGATTGGTCAAGTCCCCGTAGGTTCTTCCAGTCTTTGTGTCCCTTTTTCTCATCCTCAGGCTTCACTGTGTTGCCCCCATTTCTTGCAATACCAGGTTTTTCATTCCTTGATTTTTAGTACTAAAGTAAAGTATGTTGGAAATAGGATGCCATAGCCAGGTCAACTTTGCTTCCAGGTGGAACCTTAGCCTCTCTCCATCTCACTTCTCCATCTGTAAAGTGGAGATGATACTGTCCTGTCCATCCAGGGGTTCTTGAAAATATCTGATTAGATCATGTCTATGAAAATATGTCAAAAGCTATAAAATATTATGCAAATATGTGTGGTTAAGATGGGCCTTCTTCCTTTCAGTCACCTGTGACAACGGAGGGACATTGGACGGAAATGTCTGTAAATGCCCCTCTGGCTATGGAGGAGATCGGTGCCAGGACAAGGTCCCAGTCTGTGAGAATGATGGCAAGTGGGATGGGGCCAAGTGTGTGTGCACCAGCCTCTACCAGGGGCCGAGGTGTGAGGATGTGGTCCAGATCATTGAGATAAGTGAGTAAAACTACAGGGCCCTTTCTTCCCAAACCCTGGGCACCCATTTCTGTTTCTCCTTGGCTAGGAATATGGCCTCTTTCTGGGGCAACCATTTTATCCAGTGGTAAGAAAGTAAAAATATTTAATAAATAAATAGATTTTTTTTTAAAAAAGGTATAGTTTGGAACAAAATAAAAATTTGTTACAGAATCTTACCAAAGGTCGTATTTAAAATAAGTGAATATATGATGGAGCAGAATACAAGAAGTATATAGAATTCTCTAATCCTATCTAACAAAAGGCTAATATGCAAATTGTTCCCTCGGGAGTTGGACTGACTGGGAGTTCAATTGCTCGTTATGACATGTGCTGACCACCAGAGGGCAGAATGGAATGAAGGAAGGCCCTGATTGCTGGCCAGGTCTAAGGACCCTACCCATGCACAAATTTCATGCACCAGGCCTCTAGTCCTATATAATAAAGAGCTAATATGCTAATTAGACTGAATAGCAGAACAACCATCTGGACAACCTTCTGGATGAAGCTGGGACTGCGAGGGTCTGCAAGTGCTGAGCCCCTTGCACAAATTTCGTACATCGAGCCTTCAGTAGAATATAAGACCCAAGGTCTCCTGGTCTCCATTCAAAAGCCATGAGGATTATAGGGAATTCCCTCTCTCCAGGGGTACTCTGGTGATATCGATAAATGAGTGGGGGTTGAGGGTGGGAACCCAAGCTACTCTCCCACCTTAGAGGTATGGGTCTCCTTGGTAGGCAATTCAGTGGGTGCCGCCCTCAGTAAGTGATGCTGTTGTCTGATCCCCTCAGAGCCTCCAGAGACTGTCTCTGCCCAGGTGGAACTGAGTGTGACAGTGACCAGTGAGGAATTCACTGAAGAGCTACAAGACCGGTCTTCTGAAGAATTCCGGAAGTTCAATAAGACATTCTCTGAAGAGGTGGGCCTGGGAGAGCAAGTCCTTGTTGCCACTCAGATCTCCCCAGGGAGAAATCTCTAAGTGTTAAAAAAGTAGATGAAGGCCATGCTAGAGGTGTATGAGTTTCTCAGCTCACCATTTCCTCAGGGCTTGCCAGGGAGGGAGGAGAAAGAAGCAAGATTCCACCAGGAGCCCAGGGGCAGGGCTGGTCTCTGGCAAGAGACCACTTTGTCTGAGCAGTGTACCTCTGTCAGCTGGGGACGGGGAACGGGAGATGCTGCATGTCTTTCCTCTGCCCTCCTGAGATTCTACAGAAAGACTTAGAAGGCCCCCAGGGAGGGCCTCTGGGATAACACAGTGGCCTCCTTGTCTTTCAGATGGACAAAGTTTATTCCAAAATCCCTGCATATGTAGGAATTAACATCACAGAATTGAGGTAAGTATCTGGAGTTCCTAGGAAGAAAGTCTATGGACTGGAAGCTATAGTCATAATTATAAAGACAACTAGTAGCCCTGCCCATGAATCCATGCACCAGTAGCTCTCTGTGGAGTCTGGCTGCTCCGCGCCCACTGCCCAGAGGTTCATCCACGGCTGGATGCAGAACACTTGCTCATCACTGGGGCAACAATGCAAGCGATCCCCTTCCCCCACCCTGCCCCCGGCCACTCTGTGCCCACTGCCTAGAGGACCATCCTCAGCCGGGCACGAAATGCTTGCCTCATCACCGTGGCAACAAAGCAAGCACTCTGCCATGCTGCTCACCCTGCCTGCTCTCAGTGGCTGCTCCCCACTTCTCTCCTCCGGGACTGAAAAACTTGGGCAGGGCTGAGAGGACTGGGAACCGCCATTTTGTGGCTATGGGTGCCACTATATTTGTGATGGAGTGATGGTTAATTTGCATATTGTCCTTTTATTATATAGGTTTGTAACTATGCCCTTAATATTAGTATGCTAGGGCTGTCATAACACAATATCCCACACTGGGTGGCTTAAACAACAGATATTTAATTCTTATGGTTCTGGAGGCTGGAAGTCCAAGATCAAGGTGTCAGCAGGCTTGGTTTCTTCTGAGCCCTCTCTCCTTGTGTTGCAAACAGTTGCCTTGCTGTATCTTCACAAGACCTTTTCCCTGTTCATGTGGGCCTCTGGTATCTCTTCCTGTAACCAAATTTCCTCTTTTAAAAAAATGTTTTTATTTATTTTAGAGAGAGGTGGGGGGAAGGCAATGTTGAGAGAAAAACAGACATTGATTGGATGCCTCCTCCTACATGGCCCGTATTGGGGATCAAGTTTGCAACCTAGGCATGTGCCCTGACCCGGAAATCAAACCTGCAACCTCTTGGTGCAACCAACTGGGCCACAATGACAAGGGGAAATTCCCCCTCCTTTAAGGACACTGGTCATATTAGATTAGGGCCTACCCTACCTTGTTTTAACTTAATCATTTCTGTAAAGGTTCTACCCCCAAATACAGATGCATTGTGAGGTACTAGGGGATTAGGGCTTCAACATATGGATTTGGAGAAAACACAATTCAGCCCATAAAACTCTTCAATAATTATAGTTTCACATACATTTTCCGATTGAAAGCTCATAACCACCTTGTGAATGAGGTCAGTGAGGCTGTTCCCATTGTGCAGATGAGAAACTGAGGCTTTGAGAGATGCAGTGAGCTGCTTGAGGGATCATTCATAGAATGGTAGTACCAAGACACCTACACACCAGAACACCTGAGGCTACAACTTGTGTGATGAACACCTCATTAGTCTTCATTGATGAAGCCAAATAACTTAGCTTGGAAAGGGAAACACCCAGGAAAAAAGGTGTCCAAGTCTTCAGTTGTCCTATATTCCCTTCCACTCACCTAGGATAGGATTTCACATCCCCCCCCCCACACGCACACACAGAATTATTACCCTGTTCTTGACCCCAACTTTATGAAATCCTTTGGAACACAAGAGAAATATCCTTTTTCATGGTTGAGAGTCGCCATTGATAATTTTCAAAGGGAACTTATAACCAAAAGAAAAAATTGTACAAAAAGCACAGAAAAATACTGTGTTTACCAGCCTTCGTTTTTCTTCCTCCCTCAATTCTGTCTGACATGAAACAGAGGCCATCCCAGGTAGGACCAGGTGGGGTTCCCAAGCCTTCTTCCAGGCTGCATGTACAGCAGGTACCTGGGCCAACCTCAGGGTAGGGCATATCTGCTCTTCAGCAGCTCAGTTACCCTGGAAGATAATAGCACTTTTTTCCTTCTGCCCCTAAAACTCTCCAGGACTGGCATGTGTTGATCCTATAGAGCTCTCTCTTTTGCTCCTGGGATGGGGGTGATGGTGGGGGCTCTGTAGTGCCAATTGTCATCCATGTACTTCATCTGTTCCTCAGTCTCTCAGGCAAGAGAAGGAGGATGAGCTCTGTGGACAGGCACTGAGCCAGTGCCTTCATGGTCCTTCCAAAAGGCATCACGAGTTTCCCACCTCCTTAGACAGAGGAGGGCTATGAGGGCCATGGGGAAGCACACAACAGGAAAGTGATTCTTGCTCAGAGAGTAGAGCAGTGGGAGCGATGGAAAACGAAAGGAACTAAAGGGAAGCTATGAGCATGTCTGGGATCCTGGCTTCTTCTAAGTCTTGAACAGGAAGTAGGAAGAGACTTTTGACTAGAACTTTAACCTTATAGATATCAGGGACTCCTTTCAGAATTGACAAATATTTGTGGGAGTAGAAAAATGGACAAATGCGCTTTGAAATTTTTGCATACAGTCTTAAGAGGCTCACAGACCTACTGCAGTCAGCCTACCACCTAGAAATTAATAAATTCTGTAGGAGTCTCTGGTGCAACCTTCTCCTCTGTGGCCAATGACCCCTTAGGGATGCCTTGCCAGCAGCTGTCAATCTCGTGCTTAAGCTGCCAGTCTCCTGCTTAAGTAACACCTTAAGGATGATCTCTTCCATGGTGCTATCCCTCTGTTCATCTTCATCCTTGAGCCCTCCCTGAGTCTTCCACCTTAGTAGACAATCCTCTTAGGCACAGGTGATATGGGTCCTATAGTGACATGCCTAGCACAGTGCCTGGAATGGAGCCTTCACCCAGTAGACATTGGGTCTTCATTTTCAACCATCCTCTCCCAGATCTGCCTTCCCATGGAGGCAGAGAAGGCAAAGCTCTCCTGGGGAAGGGATTGGAGGGAAATGACCAAGGATATCTTTCTCTCTCCTCAGTTCTGGCAGTGTGGTGGTGCAGCATGATGTCATTCTGCAGGCCAAGTTCAACTCAGAATACAAGGAAGAGTTTATGAAAGTCACCAAAGAGATAGAAAAAACAATTACGAATGTAACTCAACAGCAAATAATTACTAATGGCAACTGCTCAGGTAAATTCCTAGGTTTCTGGGGAGGGGCATGAGGAGGCTTCCAAAGAACCTTTAAGTTTTGAGATGCCTAGGTTGGGGGAGGGGAAAGAGGCAGATGAGGGAAGCAAGAGGACACTGAGAGAACAGGAATCAGTCCCAAAGCTTGTCATTTGGACTGGCAGATGCCAAGGGAGGCTCTGAAGGGAGACCTGCAGAGGCAGGTGTGCTATATCCCAAGTCTGCAGGGAAATGAGATGAGCCTAGCTTATTACCCAATGTAGATGTTTCTTAATGCAATGAGCATTTTGGGAATCTTGGCCAAGAATGCAATGGGAAAAGAAAGACATTTGGAGAGTCATGGTTCTGGAGAGTTGGATATGAGGCTAGTATTTCCTCTTTGCAGAACTGATTTCCACCTCCCCCATCACAGCCCCATGCCCTCCCCCACACACACCTGAGCCACCTCTAAACAAGCTCATCAAGGACTTTGTGTCTCCTTCACAGCCACTCTGTGCTTCAATAAAAATGCCACAGAGGTGAAAAACACTGTGATAGACTACGACCCTGAAGGTAGGTGACCCAGGGGCTTTAGGGAAGGTGGGGGAGACAGGCAGCACTCCCAGACTCTTGATCATGTGCCTCCATGCCCCCTCAGTGGACTGCCAGGAAAAGGCTGGGAAAGACTTGGCTAAATACTTCTTTGTGGAGTACAAGGACCAGCAACCAAAGTGCATCAACCGCTGCATGCCTGGTTTCAATGCCTCCTTGAACTGCAACACTGGAACGTGCAAGTTGGAGCGCAGTGGCCCGAAATGCTAGTGAGTGTTTCACTACCTCGCCTCAGGCCTGCTTCTCTTCTCCCCAGCCCCCAACACCCACCTCACGCCTCAGTTTGACCTGAAGGCCAAGGTTATGGGGTGAGTCCTGGACTTTCCTAAATGCAGCCAACCACAAAGGACATCCATGGGGAGTCCCAAGGCCATGTCCAAAACGAGCTGGGAGTGGTTCAGTTCCCTGGGTATGTGTCTAGTGAGGCTGAGGACAGTGTCAAGCTCAGGAAGCAGAAGGAAGGCCCCAACCTTGGGCAGCTCCCAGTCAGATGGGAGGACGGGGCTTTGCTTCCAGGGAGAGTTCAACATCCCCTGCTGGTGAAATGGATATAGAAGGCACACCTACATGGAAGGGTGGAAAGCCTGTAAATGCTAAGGGAGGAGGAACACAGAGAAAACATTGCCTACGGAAACTAAACCAAAGGGAGAGCAGCTGGAGCACCAGGTGTGGCTGAAGGAGTCACACATATGCAAAGGCCTGAGTAGTTATTCTGGCAGAGGAATTTACAGGTTGTCTCAGGGAGGAAAGGAACAGGGCTTAGAATGGGCATCTCCAGGGAAGAGGAGTTGCTTCAGAGGTGTTCTGGGTCTGGCCTGGGGGATGGTTCTTCCCCCTAGAGAGGGAGGCCGAAAATGAAGCTGATTAATGTGTTGGCGAAAGAGTCTCTGTTGGGTCCTCAAGTTCCTGGGTATAGCCCAGGGAAGCCCGATTTGGGCCAACTGTTTTAGGTCTTGGGTTGCAAAACCTGAAGGCCTAGAGCTGGGTATTAAGCCTATTGAAGGCCCACCCATAGAAGCTGCACTTTGCCTTGGTTCATCCACTCAGGGTGCCTTGCTCTGCACCCCAAAAATCTCTTCTTCACCTTCTCATTAAGCACCCACAGGGTCAGGGCCAGTTCTGAGACTGGGGGACTGCAGGCATTGGTTGGCCCTGACTCTGAATGACTCCCTCTTCCCACCTGCACCTTTTCTCCATCTCAGCTGCTTGAACACAGACACTGCTTGGTACAGCGGGGAAACCTGTGAGGTTAGCACCAAGAAGAACCTGGTGTACGGGCTCCTGGGGTCAGCGGGTGCAGTGGTGCTGATGATCCTCATCATCCTCCTGGTGTTTATGTTCCGCTCCAAGAGAGAAGTGAAAAGGTAAGCCACTGCCGCTGCCTCTTCTCCTCGCCTCCTTTTCTGATCCCTCTGCCTTTAATCATTTTATCCTTGAGGTGAACAGTACTAGTCCACCCCATTCTCTACTCAAAATGGGATCTCTCTGGTGTTTCTATCAACAGACAAAAGCACAAAGTGACTCAGTTGTACAACTGGCATGAGGAGGATGGTGGAACAGCCCCTGGGACCTTCCATAACATTGGCTTTGACATCTACGAAGGTATTAGAAATTCTCAGTGTGCTAAAAATATCTCAAAGTTTGGAGACACACAACTGAGGCATGTGGGAGGGGCTTGAAGGAGCAATAGGGAAAAGCATTTTCATCTCCAAAACATTTGGTTCCACACCTGCAACCCTATTTCCACCACTGGCTCCTGCAAGGCCCTGCATGGGGCACATGTATGGGCACAGCATCATTAGACCATGGAGAGGGGTGTCTCAGGTTATTTGGTGGTCATAGATTTCTCTAGAACACAAAACTGTGCATAGGTGAATACAGATAAGCATCTAGGAGTGGGTAACCTCATGAATAGGTGGCTATAGCTCAGTAAAGTGATTAATGATAGGTTTTGTTAGGTTAAATATACATGTTTAAGTGTCTAGAGATTGAGTCTTTAAAGGAAAAATTGAATGAGAATATTTCTAAAAATTGCCTTTAAATTCTAAAGAAGGGGAAAATTGGAATGAGGAAAACATTTTAGTCTCTCCACAAAAAAGGCAAGAAAGGGGAAACAAAAAAGGGAAGAGTATGACAATTAGCACAAAATAAAATAGAAAATAATCCAACCATATCAATAACTATAATAAATATAAACAAGTTAAACACACCAATTAAAAGAGTAGATTCTTAAAAATCCATTTACTGTGGGTTAAAGGCACATATAAAATACAAGTACAGAGTCAAGATGAAAACAGGAGTGTGAGAAAGACAAAAGAGACTAATACCAAAGTAGCTTTTGTTCTATATACAGCTGTTTCATTGTGGGCAAATAAACTCTAAGGTAAAAAGAATTACTAGGGATAAAAAATGATCAATACCTACTGGGAAATTGTTTAGTTTTTTTAAAAAATATAACAAGTCTAAATTGTGAGTCCTATTAATACAGTTTTAAAATATATCAAGCAAAACTTGACAAAACTACAAGTAAAAATTGATTAATTCACCAACGCAGTGAGATTTTTAAAAAAAATTTTCTCTTAGTAATTGATTGATCAAGCAGGCAAAAAAAATCAATCAAGAATATATAAGTTTCATACAAAATAAATAACAGCCTTAATATAATTTTTATAGACAGGCTGCTTTCAACAACTGGAGAGTATACATTCATTACATGAGTATATGGAAAACTTGTAAGAATCACCACACACAAAGCCAGAAAAAATTCTCAATAATTTTTTCCTTTCCTTTTCTTTTTTTAAAAAAATATACTTTTATTGATTTGAGAGAAAGAGAGAGAGAGAGAGAGAAATATCAATGATAAGAGAGAATCATTGATGGACTGCTTTCAGCACACCCCCTACTGGGGATTGAGCCCACAACCGGGGCATATGCCCTTGACTTCAGTCTGCAGGCCAACACTCTAGTCAGTGAGCCAAACCAGCTAGGGCTTAATAATTGTTCTAAAGTTATTTAAGTTAACTGTAGTATATAACTACAATGCAAATGAGTTAGAAATCTATAACAAAAAATATTTCTGGAAAACAAAAACACAAATCCTATATCTTTGGAAATGTCCTTAAAGTTTCTAAATAATTCATGGACCAAAATGTAAAGACCAAACTCCCTGTGCACATAGATACAAAGATGCCAAATAAAAAATTAGCACCCCAGCCGAAGCCAGTTTGGCTCAGTGGTAGAGTGTTGGTCTGCGGATTGAAAGGTCCCAGGTTCGATTCCGGTCAGGGGCATGTACATTGGTTGCGGGCACATCCCCAGTAGGGGGTGTGCAAGAGGCAGCTGGTTGATGTTTCTCTCTCATCGACGTTTCTGGCTTTCTATCTCCCTCCCCTCCTCTCTGTAAAAAATCAATAAAATATATTTTAAAAAAAAAAGAATAAGAAGTAACCTATCGTCACCTCAATAGGTGCAAAATAAAGAATTTAATACATGTCTGCTCATCAGAAAAAGTCATCCAATTATAAGTAGAATTTCCATTTTCTGGTAAAAGGCATCCACACAAATGCAAAAATTATTTTCAATGATAAATCATTAAAAGTCATTCAATTTATCTAGGGGTTGGCAAACTTTCTTTTTTCTTTTTTTTTTTTTTCTTTTTTTTTTTAGTCCTCACCCAAAGATATTTTTTCCCATTGATTTTTTTTTTGTTTTTGTTTTTTTTTAGAGTGGAGAAGAGGGAGGGGAGAAGAGAGACACACACACAGATTGGTTAATTGCTTCCCACATGCAACCCCACTGGGGCTAGGAGTCCAGTCTGCAATGGAAGCACTCCCCTTGACTGGAAATAAAAGCATCAACCTTGGGCCCACAGGCTGATGCTCTAATTATTTAGCAAACCAGCCAGGACAGCAAACATTTTTATAAAGAGTACAGTTGGGGCTTGTGGGCTATATGATCCTGGTCACCAGGAAGTGCATTGATGAGTCCCTGCAGAGGGTGCAGGGGATGGGTGCCAGGCGGGCAGGGCAAGGAGCATGGAATGGGACCCCAGGTGGTGGGAGGTGGTGCATGCCCCTCATCCAGCAGTGGGTGGGATTAAAAGGAGAGATGAGAGCTTGTCTTCCCAAACATGTGCTTACATGGGTCTTTCTCCCTGACTAGAACCACAGAACTCCCTGAACCTGGACTCCATCTATAGTAACTTCCAGCCCTCCCTGGAACATGTAGATTCTAAAAAGAAGGTAAGAAGTGTCTGCATGAGAGGCTCACCTTCCCCGCTCTGAGATCCCATCTCCCTACTTCCCTCCCCACCATGGTAGGATCTTGGGGAAAGCAAAGTTATGCTTATGATTTGTTAGTCCAGGTGATCATTTAGGCCTACCTGATGGAAAATGGAGATAACTTGGGATGGCAGCAGGTTGGGGAAGAGAGCTAAGCAGCAAGGTGGGGTCTACCCTTCAGCAATTCATACAATTCTGGTTTGGGGGTGATGAACTCCTTTAGCTTTTTTTAATTTGAAAAATCAGCTGACAATTGTATGGGTGCTCCTTTATAGGTAACTACCTGCATTTCTCTTGCTGCTCTTAATATTCTCTCTTTGTCTTTTGCTCTTGGAATTTTAATTATGATATGTCTTGGTGTGGTCCTCTTTGTATTCCTTTTGTTTGGGGTTCTGTGTGCTTCCTGGACTTGTAAGTCCATTTCTTTCACCAGGTGGGGGAAGTTTTCTGTTACTATTTCTTCCATTATGTTTTCGGTATCTTGCTCTCTCTCTTCTTCTGGGACCCCTGTAATTCTGATGTTGGTTTGCTTGAAGTTGTCACAGAGGTTTCTTACACTATCTTCAACTTTCTGGATTCTCTTATCTTCTTGCTTCTGTGGAGGAATGTCCTCTGGCTCTTTGTGTTCCAAATCTTTGTCTTGATTCCTGCGATCTTCCAGACTGTTTTTAGAACTCTGTATAATATTTTTTATTTCAAACAATGTTTTCTTTATTTCTAGTTGACCCCTTTTTATTTCTAGTTGATCCCTTTTCATATCCTCATAGGTCTCATTTATTTTATTGTCTTTTTAAAGAAATTCTTGAAAAACCTTATAACTGTAGTTTTGAACTCAATGTCCATTCTTTTACTTTCCTCCATCTCCTTCCTTTGTGTTCTGCCTCTTCTCTGCATTTTAGCTGCTTTCCTGATTTGATGGAATAGTTTTGTGTGCTAGGTGTTCTGATAGAGCCCAGTAGCACAGCCTTCCCAGTTACCTGAGGTGGACAGTCTTTGTGGGCTGTGTGTGCAGTCTTGTTGTTAAGCCTTGCTTGTTGTTGGTATCACTGGGAAGCATTGATCTCCAAGCCAATTGGCTGTGAGGATCAGCAGTGTGGCTCCTACCTTTTTAAAATATACAAGGTGGTCAAAACTAGGTTTATAGTTGTTTGTATGTAAAATATCATAATTATTAATAAATAATAATATAAGAATAAACTGTATTTTGCATACTCACAAATGTAGACCTACTTTTGTTAACTCCTGTATTGGTTTTTGTAAGAGTCCAAGATGATTGTCTTAAGGAATGCTCCACATTCTGGATTTGTCTAGTTATTTCCTTATGGTGTGATTTAACATGTCCCTCAATTCTCTGTATTTCCTATAAATTGGCAATTTGGTCAACAGGCTTGATTACACTCACCTTAACCATTTTTGTTAAGCATACATCAAGAGGTACATAATGTCAGGTTGTCTCATTATAATTGAAACCAAGATAGGTCACTTAGGTAAGGGATGACAACTCCTTGATTGCCACTTTTATTTTAACTGGGTGTATATTTGAGGGCAGAAGAAATACCCTCAAATATTCTCACTTCATGGGTATGATTGGCTTCAGACACTGGTTCTCTTCCCTAGAGACAACCTCGTTACAGAAGTGAACTCCTTAGCTAGGACACTTTTAAACTGACCTAATTTGGGGGTAGGGGAGAGTGGAGGGAAACTATTGGTTTGTACTGGACTCCAATTAATAGATTAAGTTCTAAATTGAATGCTTCCCTTTTCCCAAGACTCTCATGCTCCCAAATTCCAGGTTTATCCTAGGCCCAACCTTCACCTGGTTCTCACTCTCTTTACAGATACAAATTAAGAGGCCTGAGGTGACGATGACATCATTGTAAGGCAAAAGAAATTTCACATGGAGCTGTGGGATCTAGAAATGAGGAGATCTCCATTCAGCTAAGTTTCATAGAACATTTCTCCATTGAGAGCATTCCACAAGAACATGATAAGAAATAAGGAAGGCTCAATCAGCATGGTTCAGTGGTTGAGTGTTGACCTATGAACCAGGAGATCATGGTTTGATTACCAGACAGGGCACATGCTTGGGTTGTGGGCTCCATCTCCAGTTGGGGACGTGCAGCAGGCAGCTGACCAGTGATTTCCTATCATCATTGGTGTTTCTATTTCTCCCTTCCTCTTTGAAATAAATAAAAAATATATTTTTTAAAAAGAAAAGATATTAAGAAGAAGAGAAGAGAGACTACAGTTCTGAGAATCAAATAGAAACACCATGGAACCCCCAATGGACTTGTTAGGACCTCAAGCGAGTTCCTTCTGCTCTTTCTGGGGAGGTTCTTCCTCCTCTATGTCCAGCTTCAGCACCAAGGACAGCATTCTCATCAACAGGTTTACTGTGGTGATCCTTCAAACCCTGGTTTGCACCCTCCCTTATATAAAATCATCTTGTAAACTTTGTTGAATCACCTCTTCATGAAAAATATGTTTTTTTAATGTATAACATTTTTAGTATATAAGATTATGAGTATTTTTAAAGTTCTTTTTTTCTACAGAGTCTGGGTTTTTTGTTAGTCAATATTATCATATCTACACTAATAAAAGAGAAAGATGTAATTGACCATACTTTCGTGATGCCCACCAGCCAATCAGGAGTGTGTATCAAAATTAACACAACAAAGATGATGGGTTAATTTGCATATGCATGCGCCAAGTCAGGGGGGTGGACAGGATAATTGCATCGTCACTATGGCAATGACTCAGGTGTTCCACATTGCCCCAGCCGCTCAGGGCCTCTGGGCAGCATGGGAAGGCAGGGTCAGAGTGTAAAGGCAGTGCCAGCAGCCAGGGAAAGGAAGGCCCATTCCTGAACAAATTTTCATGCATTGGGCTTCTAGTCCTATCTAATAAAGAGGTAATATGCAAATTGACCATCACTCCAACATATAAGATGCCACCCCCAAGTGGTCAAAGATGGCTTCCCCCATGTGGACACAAGATGGCCACCATAAGATGGACAGCATGGGAGGGCAGTTGGGGGTAACCAGGCTGGCAGGGGAGGGCAGTTAGGGATGACCAGGCCTGCAGAGGAGGACAGTTGGGGTGACCAGGTTTGCAAGGAAGGGAAGTTAGGGTTAACCAGGTTGGCAAGGGAGGGAATTTAGGGGTGACCAGGCCAGCAGGGGAGGGCAGTTATTGGTGACCAGGCTGGCAAGGGAGCAGTTACGCGTAGATCAGGCTGGCAGGGAGTGGTTAAGGGGTGATTAGGCTGGCAGGCAGAAGTGGTTAGGGGCAATAAGGCAGGCAGGCAAGCAATTGGGAGCCAGCAGTCCTGGATTGTGAGAGGGATCCCAGATTGGAAAGTGTGCAGGCTGGACTGAGGGACATCCCCTCCTCCCATGCACAAATTTTGTGCACCAGGTCTCTAGTATTTTTAATAACTAAAAACAATACAAGGAATTTTATGAAATGTTTCATGGTTCTCATACCATTTCCAGTCAACACCTTATATAAACTCATGTTTCTCACCTACCAGGCTCTCTCCTCTTCCCCTTCTCTTCTCTAGAATGTAGGTTTCAAAGAGTTTGACCTCAAAATGACAAAAGGGAAATTTGCAGCCAAGAAGAGTGCCATCTCTGACCTTCCCTGGCATCACTGGCTGACCATCAAGGATGCCAAGAAGATCCCACACACATTCACTCCCATGACATAGGGACTCACTTCCTACTGAGAGAACCAAGTTCTTCTGGAAATGGGCTCTTCCCATAGATCTGAAGAGACGGAGTCTTGGGTTCTATTTCCTGCTTTCTCATTAACTCCCTTGGTTAAATTTGGGGAAATCGGATTTGACCGGTTGGACTTAGTCTTGCCTTGTGCTAAATAAGGATTAGGTTGTTGTTAAAGTCACTGGGATTTTAAATATTTTTAGAATGCTTTAGTACTATTCCTGCCATGCAGCCCTGGATTCATTTTTGTGCTGGAAGGTCTCTTCCACAGGCTACTTAACCTACACTTAAGAAACAGCCTAGGCTAGGCTCTGCTGCCCCCTCATGGACGCTTAGAACATCTGCAGTACCGTTCAGCAGCTCCCTGCCATTCCCTCCCGACCTCCCTCATTAGATCACTTGGTTCATTTCCATATTTGCCATAAAATTCCCCAGCTCCTAAAACTGGGTTGTCTTATGTTACAGAAGACCATCAACATCTGGCTTATACACAGCAGACATTTGTTCCTCACAGTTCTAAAGGTGGAAAGTCTAAGATCATAGTATGAACAGAGTTGGCGTCTGCTGAACACCTGTTTCCTGGTTCACAGACACCTGTCCTTTTTCTGTAAACACACGTGGTGAAGAGGACGAGAGAGCTCTCCTGGGCATTTTCTAGAAGGGCACTAATCTAATCCCATTCCAGATTGACCTAATCACCTCCCAAAAGGCCCCACCTCCTAACACTATCACACTGGGAATTAGGTTTCAACATATGATTTTGTTGTGGAAACACATTTAGTTTGTAGCATGGACTGACTCAGGTATCTTTACTGTCAGAACCACCTCCCACAGGCCCAGGTAACAGTGGCCATGCAAGGGGGGACTTGAAGGGTCTACAGATTCCACATCAAGTCTGAAGCCATATTACCCAGCTCAGCCCCATCCTGCTCTCTCCTCACATCTGCTCCATGGAGAGGAAAACTAGAGTGACTAAATTCATAGCTGGCCCAGGTCCAACTTTGGGTGAGCCATCCAG